TTTAACAACAAACAAACCTATACAATTAAATTAATCTAAAAAGAAGCCTTTCAACTAATTAATACTGTAAATACAAAAAACATTATAGACAAACAAATTACTTATATTATTAATACAGTTATTATCCTAATATTAAAATACAGAATATATAATATTATCATAGGTTGAATGAATGAATAAAGGGTGAATAATAGGTAAATAACAGAAAAAAAAACTGCCATTATTCTATTCTATATCTGCCAAATAATGACAGCATAACAGCAGCATAATAGCAGAATAATAGTAAAATAACAGGAGGTTTGTCAATATAAGTAATATAATAGTAACATAATAGCAAAATAATAGAACTGCTCTATTATTTTGCTATTATGTTACTATTATATTACTTATATTGACAAACCTTCTGTTATTTTACTATTATTCTGCTGTTATGCTACTGTTATGCTGCTATTATTTGGTAGATGCAGGATAGAATAATAGCAGGTTTTTTTTGTTATTTATCTATTATTCACCCTTTATTCATTTATTTGACCTGTGTAACTTCCCAAAACTATATATAATCACATATTAACTAAATATTTCACAGTTGTTAAACACAAATCTTATTTTGCCTAATCAATTTCTAACAGTACAATGCTTCATTCTTATCTATACAATATATAAAACATTTGAGATATACAATTACAACATCATATTACTACTTTTTTTTAACAAATTAATGATCTTTATTTACTAAATGTTTTTATATATATTAGATTACAACAGCTCTAAAACAACTTTTGGTTTACTATAAACATTCTTGAACATCCTCAACCTAATATTAATAGTTAAGATAAATATACTCTTAATTTTAAAATTATACAACTATTTTCACAAATTGCTATCTTTATTAGAGCTAATAGTAATACATTATAGTTAAACATTATTTATTATTAGTTTCAACTTTTTGAACTTATTTTTTAACACTACTCCAAATATACAACTTTTAAAAAATAACTTAGATGACTAAACTTACTTTATCTTGAACAACTTTGCATTTTAGACAATACTACACTTTTTGAATAAATACATTTATTATCAAGAATTCTTCATTTGCCTAAAGACAAAAAACTAATCTGATTTACTAAACTTGAAAATAGTATTATAGAAAATCATTGCTATTGTTCTCTTAAACTTCAATATCAACAGTAAGGAACTAATCTTTTTGCATATAACACATATAATATTTCTAAAAAATATAAACTATGGCTAATTATTTTTAATAATAAGAAAAAATTAGAGACAAATTCTATAAAGATTTTATAAATTCTAACCAAATATCAATCACATATTGGCAAACAAATATTAATATAAACAGTACTGATTATTACTTATTTTAACAAATTAATCTTGTTTCTTATTCAGGTTATTAACTTAACTTACAATAAATAACTACATCATACACTATTAATACTTTATATATTATATCTGCCTAATTTTTTAATAGAATTATTTCAAATTTAATTAAAATAAATGCAAACTATTTAGACCTTCTTAACTTTGCTGCAATTAAATAGCCTTTACCAAATCCTTTATTACTATCATTGTCTTCTATTTCTATTTCTAACTCTATCTTATCTGCAATGTTTTAAAAAAGTGAAATAACTAACAAACTTAATTAAATATCTTCTAATAACCTACTATATAACTTATTTAACTTTTATACTAGTTTAGTAATTGGTATAAGTACAAATAACTGTATTATAGATATTGGCTAGGTCCAAGTAGATTTTAATAACTAAGTTATTTACAAATTTACTACCAAAATTCATTTCTGGTTATTCTCTTACAAGGTTGAACTCTTTTTTATTCTATCTGCTATTTCAACTACCTTTCAAAATTCTACAATTAACATCTATACAGACTTCTAATTTATAATATCAAAATTTATTCAACTTAATTAGTTATCTCTAAATCCTAATAACCTTATTAAATTTAACTTCTAACTATTATGGTATACTTTACTAAATATTATCAAATTATATAAATTAAATATTAGTTTTCATAAAATTCAAGCCTATTCAGACAATACTTTTAATAATCTAGCAGACTTATTTACTAAGCAACATACAAATAAACTTCTATTACACTTAAATTATACAAATATTCACAATTCATATTATTTATTATTCTTTAAAACAGAAAAATTTCTTGTTAAACTTCTCATCAGATATTTTGTTAAAAGTATTTGCAAAGCTTACAACCTTGTACTATGATCATCATAAAAATAAAATGATAAATAAACTCTATTAGTTCATTATATTAACTAGAATTCAATCTAGTTATACTTTAACTATAATTAAAAATCTACTCACAACCTTACTAATTTTAAACTTAACTAATCCAAATTATTTAAAATTAAAATACTTCTTAATAAACTACCTATTCAATATTTCTATCATAAAATCTATCCTCTAACCTTTCATAATACTAATTGTTTTTATTGCAATTCAATTATGTTATTATTATATTGATACATTTGTGTCAACTTCTTTTTATTTGATAATATTATTTCTAATACAATAACTAACTACATAAACTCAACCAATTTAGACTTTCTAATAATAAAATTAAAAAACTTATTCAAAAAATTAAAGACTATTTAGCTTTTAAAGAAACACCTCTTTATTCATTTTCACATTATCTAGAAATTATTCTTAAAGATCTTATCTTCTTATCTTTAATTAAAATTATTTAGAACCTAGAAATTCTATACAAACTAGCATTTAATAATTATAATTAATATTCTGCTTAAAATTAACAAACAAATCTATAAATAATTATGAAAACCCTATTATATTAATTTTTCAAATTGAAAAAAACAATAACAAATAATATATATACATACCAATTAACAAACTTTATCTTTCTATAGTAGAAATAATATATATTATAACTAATTTTCATCCTAAGTGATATCACCCAATATTATAAAATATTATTACAAGTAAATAAATTTAATATTAGGAGTTAGGGATGGTTTTAGGTTAAATTAAAAAAGTTAAAATTTAACACTGGAAAGTTTTGCTTAGAAGTCAAAGCATGGTTTTTATAATAACATCTTGAGTTCTTCTCTTTGTTTTGGTTACATAAGATCCAGCGACCTGATCAGTTTTTATACAACCAGGTGATATCACCTAAAGTGAAAATTAGCAATAGTCAATAATATACATACTTATTATAATTTTATATATTCTTATTTTTGTGATCAACCTAACCAACTCTATTTACATACTGGAACCTGTTCACTTGTTAGACAGCTCTTTAAAAAAATTAGTACTTGAGTTACTTTGTGGATCAAGTATCACACAACTTCTAACTTTATTTTAACTATAAATAATATTATCTAGATGAGTTTCTGACCACTCTAGTAAGTTTAGATCACAGATAAATTAGATTTATTTAATTGTTTGAGTTTTTATTCTTGCATGTAATTTTCTTTTTTATTTGTACTAGTACAAATAGTAGAAATGTATGTATTGCACATATGTTATTATTTTATAAATTACTTAATAAAGATACAAGCAAGACCTCACCTTAATAATTAAAAAAAAATTTATACATCAAGATTACACCAAGGTACTTACATAGTAACACAAAAAAGACTTAATTGTAATTAGTTAATTTAAAAATATATTAAAAAATTTTATTTTTACTAACTTTAAGATTTTTTTAACCAATATGTAATCAAAAATCAATTTAATTTTTTTTATAAATATATTCTATACATATTTAAATATTAAATATATTTATTTAATTCTAAGTTAATATGTAAAATTTTGTGTAATTACATTTTAATTCAAATATATCAGGTTAATGTATCATGCTTAATGAGATGACCAATACTTTTGTTTTTGTGCATTTTAAAATTTACATAAGTTACTAGGGTTGTTAATGAAGTAGCATATTCCGAAGTAGCTCTGGAGTAGGCCTAACCCAAGTTGGAGTGGGTTAAAGATATACTGGAGTGAAACTGAAGTAAACCGAAGCAACTCTAAGCAAATCTGGAGTGGCTCCAGAATGGGCCCAACCCAAGTTAAAGTGGGTTGAGAAATAACCTAACCCAACACATCCTATTCCAACTTTATTCTTTACCTCTTGCAAAAAGTCGTGTTTAAGTCAACCCATCTTAAATTAGATTATTGGAGATTATTTTTAAAGTTAGCTTTTCTAGCACTTCTTCGAAGCTAAAGACGACGTTTGTTAAGAATGATTACTCGTGTAATATTGTTTTAAAAAGTACTTTAAAACATATGAATAAGTTACCCGAGCAATTGATTTGCATTAGCCAATCTATGAACATAAATTAGCCAATCACATAAATGTGATTTTCCATAAAAACACGAGTTCCTTCTATGCTGATTCGAATCCGAATATAAAACAAAATATATCGAATCTGCAAAGTAAACCATAATCTTTTAGAAGACAAAAGCATTCAACTACCTGTATTGCTGTCATAATGATAAGTAGTGTGATAGAAACCAACTTAAGTTGATTTTGACTTACGAATCCACAAAATTCAAAATATACCTATTTATAACAATCCTTGGGTAGGATTTATTAGATGATAATTTGATTTAATAACTTCTTACCTGAAAACCGTAAAGTATCTTACGCAGGTATCACAGAATACTAACAATAAAGGGTACCTGCACAATCAAAGAACAAAGGATAGGAGTATTTATTTTATCATTAGTTTGAATCCTTAAATTCTTGTGTAATGAATTGTTGTAATTGCATGAAATGGACTATTCCAAGTACATATTGCATATTAGCTTATGATTACGAAATAATTAGCAATCAATTACGCATTAAAAAAATCAGATCTTTCGTACTCTTCTGGAAATAGTCGTATGATTATTAAATTTCAGTTGATACGTATCATCATACATTTCAGCACTTGTGTTCTTTTCTTATCGCACTCACTTATCATACAGTAACTCTTTAAAGGATTGAAAAATATGGCTTCTGAAGAAAACAGAATCTCATATTTGACCAATTCTGATGTTCCAACCAAGTCGATTAGGCCTTCTGCGAATAATGATAATAATGGCCAAGAAGATCAACAAGCTTCTACACAAGAAACCAAAATTTTAAAGAACGATGATAATTCAACTTGCATGATGAACAGAAAAAGAACGTTCGATAGTGATAGCATTTTAGAGGAAACAACCTCTGAATCCCATGTTTCATCACATGATTTTGATGCAACGGTTTTAAAGAAAGTTAACACTCAGACTTATTCAACCATAAATAAAAATGTCTCACCACCTCAATTGTCATCATTTTCTTTTAAACCAAGTAATAGAAAGGAACGTAAACTTTATAAATTTATGCATAAAACAAACACTTCTGATAATTCAACATTTCAACATGATTCATTAACGGATACATCACATTCATCACAAAAAAATTCTACTGTTAAATCTAAACGAATCCATTCTGGCCCGTCTAAAGCAACCCGTGGAAGAAAAAAAAAATCGACACAAGAAGCTTTTTTGTCAAAAAATACAAATTTACCATCAAGCTCAGATGACTTATTTTCTGATATTCGAGTCTTTTTCATTCCAAACAATATTGATAAAGTTCGTTTGAGATTGTTGAAACAAAAAGTAGAAGAAAGGGGTGGAAAAGTCGCCAACGATAAATTCGATTCATCTGTAACTCATATAATCACTGCTTTGGAAGGACAAAGGGTTTTGGAAATTTTAGAAATTAGTGATATTCCTCAGGTATTTAATGAAATGATAAATTCTCCTAATTTTATCGTATTTCACCACAATTCATTTTAATACAGGGTGTGTTTATAGTCGAACCAAATTGGATATCACACTGTCTAATGGTGAGCAAAATATAATTTGTTACATTTTAGATTCTTGCTTATCCTAATTTCATATTGTATTAGAATGGAAAACTCATGGATGTAAGGCCATACATTGTACAAACGTGTGATATACTAAACACTCAGTCATTGAAACAAAAAGATAAAAGAATTCATGAAGATTTAACTGATGACAATAACGAAAATAAAAGGTATAATTTGATGTTTAAGGAATGGGGGGGTTTTTTTAATGTGTAAAATCCCAATATCGAACTTTTGTCCGTTTCAATGATTTTTTCCGAAGAAATAATCGTCCAGAAAAGAAACAGAGACAAGACTCCTTGTCACCAAAAATGCGTTCACCTTCTCCATCGTCCACTTTACCAGAAGCCAATGAATCAAAGACACAAAGTGACGATCCCTTGTTGGAAATAATCGAGGAGACCAAATGCCTTGCAGAAGCGGTAAGTCCTCTTGCCTTTTAATCAACATAACCTTTATATATTGCAGGATTATAGTTTTTATACTTTTCGCGCAATTTTCAAAGGGATTTACATTGGATGATGATAACGATGAGTCTCGTGGTATTCAAGACAATAAAACGTTTGATCCAGAAGATGAAATTTTTGTGTCATCAATGCAATTCGAAGAAAATAATCCGAATCAATTGATAATTGATAAAGTATGTGGCAAAAAAATAAAATAAAATAAGATAAACATTTAGAAACACTATTATCTCGAGTTCATATTAACCGTTCATTACAGCTCAAAGTGTTATCGAATCATTATCAACGAATGAAAGATGAATGGCGGACTTTAAGTTATCGAAAAGCGATCACCGCGATAAAAAACCAAAAAGAACCAATTACCTCTTACAAAGAAGCCATAAAAATTCCTGGCATAGGACATCGTACCGCTGAAAAAGTTCGTTTTTTTATTATTTTTATTTGAAATTTGGTTATAGAAATTATTCATCTTTTCTTATATTACAGATTGCAGAAATTATCAATACCGGAAATTTAAAACGATTACAACATTTTTCGGAAGGCGACGAAATAATTAAGAAATTCGGTGATATTTATGGTTGTTTTCATCTGTTATTATTTATTTTTTACTATGATTATATTATTCCTTTTTTTATTAATTTTTTTTTTGTGCAATTCAAATCTGTTGTTAATAAAAAGGTGTAGGCGCGTCTACTGCTATGAAATGGTACGCAAAAGGTTACAGAACTTTCGACGATATTATTAAAAATGTTAAACTAACACACGCCCAACGTATTGGAATTGAATACTTTGATGTAAGTTTAAAATTATTAGATCAACATGTATCTAAATTAAATATATATACTAATTAATTTCTAAAGGATCTCCAAGAAAGAATTCCAAGAGATGAAGTAACTGAAATCTCAAAACGTGTAAAAGAAGCGGCTTGTAAGGTCGATCCCGATTTATCATGTACCACCGTTGGATCTTACATAAGAGGTCGACCTACCTGCGGAGATATTGACATTTTAGTAACTAAAAATGGTTTGGACGGGAAAAAAGATTATGGTAAAAACTCATTTGCACATATAATTATAAAGAATATACAAGCTTATATATATATATATGATTTTTTTTCTATAGGCGCCTTTTCAAAATTGCTCGATATTTTACATGAACAAGGCCTATTAACGCACGATCTCACACAACGCGAAGAAACTTCATCAAAATATTTTGGTTTGTGTAGGTTGCCTGGTGGAAAACATCGTCGGATAGGTAGAGAAACATGTTTATAACTTTATGTTTTGTGGCTTTTAATTAAACTAATTAAACGTTAATGCCTTCAATTTCTAGATATGTTCATTGTGCCATTTAATGAACTAGGTGCTGCATTGTTATCTTTTACAGGTAACGATATATTTAATCGAAGTATAAGGTTGCTTGCGAAGAAAAAGGTAACTATCATAAATTAAAGGATTATTGAAATGCGACGTTTGAAAAAAATAATTATAGAGTATAATAGAAGAAACTTTTTATATACATACAGAAAATGAATCTAAACCATCATGGTTTATATAAGAATGTTTCTCGAGGCCATAATACAAAGTTAAATAAAGGAATTTTGATTGCTCAAAGGACTGAAAAAGAAATATTTGACGCTTTGGGAGTTCCATGGCGGTAAATGTGCAAACATTACATTAAACGATTTTTCTTTTTTAAAAAATGGTAATATATATATATATATATGTATTTGGTTCTATAGCCCACCAAGCGAAAGAAATTATTAAAAGTTTGATGGATTGGCTCAATACTACTATAATCAAGAACAAGCATGATTAAAAAGACTAGAGAACAACCTTTTAATTATTTTCATTTTATTTTTAAAAAAAAGCAAGGCGAAAAATCTATAATTTTGTATATATATACATTAACGACTTAGAAATTGGATGAAATTATGTAGTCATAACTTTTTCATGTGGTTAGGCGGCTGATTCGCCTTCCTCTTTTTGTTATTTCACCAAAGGTGTTGTAAAAAATAAATCTATATATTAGAATAAAATAGTACATCCTTGACTATAGTTAACAAAAAACCAAAAAACGATATATCGGAAATATGTCAATAATAAAGATTAATGTACTAAGGACCATTTTATTGATTAGCATTAGCTTCCAGACCGTGAATTTATAGTAAACACGGATAAGTAGGTTTTGGAAGGTTATTACATACTTTAACTATCGTTGCACGTACGTATGTATTGTTAGTGGCGTGCACTTATTTGTGCGAGTGATACAAGCCCAAAAAGGGAAGTTAGCCAATCGGAGAGCGTAAATTTTGATTATCTCGGATCAGCCCGACATGAAATCCGAACACGTTCGAAAAAAGAAAAAAGTCAAAAAAGCGAAAATACTCGAAAACTAATGTTTTAATCGACCTTAATACATTAATTAAAAATGTCGGGAATAAAATTTTACATATAATACGCAATATTCTATTACTATAGACCTGAACTCTAACACCCTAACCCTAAATTTCAATTGACACGTACTTAGTTTAGGATTTACTTATTTTTGCGAGTGATACAAACCCAAAAAAGGAAATTCTATACAAAAATAAACTAAGTACGTGTCAATTGAAATTTAGGGTTAGGGTGTTAGAGTTCAGTGCTATAGTAATAGAATATTGCGTATTATATGTAAAATTTTATTCTCGACATTTTTAATTAGTGTATTAAAGTTGATTAAAACATTAGTTTTTGAGTATTTTCGCTTTTTGACTTTTTTCTTTTTACACACGTGTTCAGATTTCATGTCGGGCTGATCTGGGATAATCAAAATTTATGCTCTCCGATTGGCTAACTTTCCTTTTTGGGTTTGTATCACTTACACAAATAAGTATATGTCAGTGATTGACTCTATAGAAGACAATTTCACAAGAGCATTTTAATATTTTTAGCTTTATATGATTTTAATTTATGTTATAACAAATTTCTTTCTTATTATAATATTCCTCTTCTCTTTTGTAACTAAACTATTCAAACCCTTATACAACATATTGATAAGCATAACTTCAACCAAACTGTTACCAATATTTTATTCTCTGTTAATAATAATTATAGTAAAACTCATATATATCTTTCTAATAATCTACTTTTATCTAACTATATTATTATTCCTTCTTATTTTCTTTCTAAGTTTTATAACTTTCCTCTTAAATTACACTTTACTAATCTTATTCCTATCTCATCAAATATACTTATATAGAATATATATGACTTATATCTCAATATTGCTATATATAATATTAGAGATTTTAATACTATAATCAAAAAAAAAGTATAACAAATCTATTGTCTTTATAACAATATTAATATTACTTATATTACTGAAACCAAAATTATTAATAACAATAATCTTTATTTTTATAATAGTAATCTATTTATATATTTTGAACTAATTCAAACAACTTAGTTAAAGATACTATTATCATGATCTGTAAATATTTATAATTCCATATAGATAACTATCAAACACATCTGATGAAATTATTAATTTGGATCTTTTTTTCAAAAATGAAACCAAACAGCATATTATAGCTATTTATCTTTTTTCAACTGATATGCATAAATGTAATGAAATACAAAATACAATCATCACATAGATTCAACAAATTCAATAACTTAATTTTCATTTTATTTTATTTAATAATTTTAATATACATGATAACATTAATAGTTCATTATCTAAATTCTGACTTATTAATTATTTACATCAATTCAACATGTTTGATCTTGATATACATATAGATAATAAACATTATATATGATCAAATAATATTAGTCAAAATCATATTGACTATATTTGAACTGATTTATTTAACATTTAATTTTTTTTTTTATATAAACTCAATGATAGTAATTTCTCTACACTTAGTAACTATTTTATCTTTATATCTACTTGGACTTTTACAAATACATATAGCAAACCACCATGGCATCACATTGGTATTAGCTATAGAATTTTTAACTATAAGGTTATATTATCAGAAAAATGAACAGAATTTTCAGATTTTTTTTCTTATAATCTTAATCTATACAACATTCTATTTAATAGCAATACTAATGAAAGCATTGAAACTATTTGATACAAAATTGAAAATGCAATCATTAATACTGCAACATACTCTAGTTCTAACAAAATAACTTAAAAATGCAGCTATAACCATCAATACTCTTCTCATTTTACATTATTCTATTTATCACTAAAAAAGCTTGGATCATCTATATTAGTAATATAATACTATTCATGTCTTTAATTCAAAAACAGCTCTTTCTCATAGATTATCAAAATAAACAAAATTGACTAAAATTTAGAAAATAATACTATAAGTTTCTTATAATAATATAACTTTCTTTAAAAATACTAAACTTAATATTGCTAGTTTCAATACTATTAAAAAGTCAGAAGCTACAAATAGCTAACTTCAGTTTTGGTGCTAGCATAAAGATGACAATTCTAGTAAAGACAAAACAAATTTGTTTATTAACTCTAACTCTTATAGACTAATCAACTAGACCTATTCTTCTTAAAGCATTCAAAAGACCATAAATTTTACTTATCTAGTGTGTTTTCTTTGTTTTATTTTAATATAAAATTTAATTTTGCTGAAACCAAATTATTTGGAAACTTGGAGTTGATTTCAAAAAATTTTTTTGACAAAAGTGGAACATCACACTACTTCAGAAAAATTGCTAAGCACACATGATCAACCAAAAATAATAAACACCAAACAAACATAGTGATCATGTTCCTGATATAGAAATTTATAACAATTAGCAAAACAAAACAACATACATCAAATTATGTACAAAACTAAATTAGGAAATAGATAACCAAACAACAAAAATACAAAAATAGATCGAGCAAATAAAATAATTGAATGGAGATAATCAACAAACAAAGCCTAATCTAGCAGATATAAGAAATAGGTAACAAACTGTGTAGATATTTGAATTGCAGTAAATTAAACCGAATTTTGGAAACATTCATGACTAAAGAACTAAATGATGTAAAAACTATAGCAAAAAACTTAGCTCTTGGTAATCTCTAAAAAATTACAACTAAAGATCTTTTACTATATAGTCAAATACTTAAGGCCCTGAGATATGTATTAGAAGAAGCTAAAACAGTACCAAAAAAAAATTATTGAAGATTGGGCTAGTAAAATCAAGATAGCAAGCCAAAATCTAGGCCCAGTCGATTATATATTAAGCCTAAACAAAGAGGAAAAAAAAAAGGAAAAGAATAAGATAAAAGGGATTGAAGAAAATAGTAAAAATAAAAAAAATTACTTTAGTGCAACATCAAAGAAAAGATGACAAATAAAAGATACAATGATGCCAGATATAAAAGTGAACAAAGACTTAGAGCAAATAAAAACATCAGACACAAGAAAGTTTAAAGTAGTAACACAACAAACAGAAATAACAGATAAAACTAAGAAGTTATTAGCAAGTGAAAATAACTATACAGAAGGGTCAAATAAAAAAGAGTACAAAGTGAGTCAGGAAATCTCACAAGAAATTATAATCCAAAATGACAGAAAAACAACCAAGCAGAAAGAGTTAGAAATCAAACCAGTAACAACTCAGTTAGAAAACAGCCTCTGGTCACCTAAAAACAGAACCTGCAACAAGAGTGCTTCCTTCAAAGCAAAAATCTCATCCTTTAAAGTTCTAGGGAAAACTAAAAAATACTAAATCAATTATATAAAATAGGTTCTTAGAGAAAATGAACATATTAAGTCAATTGAAGAAAAATTTCAAAATGGTAACAGTTGGATGGTAGTTGATTTTGACTGTGAATACAGCAGAAAAACATTAAGTAAGCACATTAAAGAAAAAGAAGAAGAATAATGTAATCTTATTCCAGAAGAGATTAAAATTCCAGAAAGAAAACCTATCATATACTATTAAGAAAATAAAGAAATAATAAAACCAAAATACAAAAAAAGATATGATATGGACTTATGTTTACAAAAAGATGAATTTGATCTACATCTTAAGAAAAAAGTAAGAGAACCTAGCTCTAGCAAAAAGGAAAAAGAGAAGATGGAAATTACAAAATATTTAACAATTTGGAACTTGTCAGTAAATGTCAAATATGAAGAAATAGAGTACATGTGCAGAAGCCTTGACAGTATATATATAGTTAAAGTCAAAAGATCACAATTTAAAGCATTGGCAATAATTGAGGTTACAAGCCATAATAATAAATACATCTCATAGTCATTACTATTAAATAATAACAAGTTAATCTGAGTAACTCAAGGGGAAAAAAATTACGAACAAAAAAATAAACAAAGTCTTTATATAACCAAATTACTAGAGCTTTTCAAAGAAGCTTCAAAGATGTTGCTTTTGCAAAGTCTAAAAAGTAAAGATGTAAAATTAGTATACATTCCTATAAACAAGAATAATAATATTAAAAAATTTGCAATAATTACATTTGCAAGTTAAGAAGAATTAGAAGCAGCACAGTCCAAACTGATAAGATACAACAATCATATAGTTTTTTGGGAAGACTATAGTGTTAAAAGAAAGACAAAAGAGGAAACAAAAGCAACTAACAAAAATTATGATGATAAGAGAAAAGAAAACAATACTCAGAAAAGAGAATACAAGT